TCGGCGCCTCCTGCCTTTCATTTGGGGGGCCTCCATGCTGGTCCTGCTGCTCCCGCTGCAACTGCCCACTCTCCTCCTGCGCCCGCGCCCCCTCCGCCCTTCCCACCCCCCTCCCTCGCGCTGTCCTGAGCAGGGCTCCAAGTGAGCCCCCTGCAGCGCCTCCCCCCCCGCGGCTTCTTCTCATGTGGGCCTCAGGGGGGCAGCCCCAAGCGGGCCTCTGCGAGGGCAGGGCCCGCATCCATCTGCGCGCAGAGGTACCCTGTAGCTCACGGCTCTCCGTACGGGAAACTACCGCTCGGACTCGCCTCCAACGCGCTTAGCCTTACCCTCCCCCCCCTTCTCCCTTTCCTCCTCTTCCTCCTCCTCCTCCTCCTCCTCCTCCTCCTCCTCCTCCTCCTCCTCCTCTGGTTCCTCCTCCTCTTCCTCCTCCTCCTCCTCCTCCCCCTCCTCCTCTCCTCCTCCTCCTCCTCCTCCTCTTCCTCCTCCTCCTCTTCCTCCTCCTCCTCTTCCTCCTCCTCCTCCTCCTCCTCCTCCTCCTCGTCCTCTCTGGATCTTGCGCGTGGGCGTCAGCTCCACGGGTCGGGGAAGGCACCCCACGAACCATGATGCCAATGCCGCTCGATGTGGCGACGCAGCGCGCCGATGCTGGAAAGGCATGGGACCCGATGCCAATCCACACGCGCACCCAGGTCCATGCCTGCGCTTCCTCGATCCCCTCGTCCCGTCTTCCTCCACTCCCACTCCTCCGCCGGCCACTCCGCCACCGCGTGTCCTCTCGCAGTCCGTGCAGGAGCTTCCCGCAGTAGTTCGGCTGGACGTCGATGGTGCGGCGTCGCGACTTGTACCCCCTGGAGAGACATCTCGTTTGGCACCCGTGGAAGATCGGAGGAGGGCCAGTCGAGACAACGGTGGCCCTCCCCGGCGTTGTTAATCGTTTTTGGAGCCTCCTGGAGGCTTCTCGTCGCAATGGCTGGATCCGCTCCGGTGAAACGGCGGGACAGGTTTTGAATGGATTCGGAACGGGCGGGAGCCGCCGATGTTTTGACCCGTTTGCGGCGCGCACCAAGGGGGCAGGGGCAGGGGAGGCAGGCTTATTAGGAGGCTGCTTCCTAGAAGGCGCCGGCCTGACATCTACAGATAATAGGGGGCAGACAATCCACCCCGATAGTAACCACCTCGACACGCGAAGCCGTTTAGCAAACGCACCCAAAGAAGAAATCGAACAAGGCAAGGCTGTTTAGTAAATGCCCAGGGCCGTTTAGTAAACGCCAATTGTCCGGTCTGGGTGTTTTTTTTCTCCCTTGAGATAAGGCCCGCGCCTTCAAAGACGCAGGGATGCTTCAATCGGGGGCGCGCAATCATGGATTAGCGATCCATGGATTTGGCGCGCGGTTGCCAAATCCATGGATCGGGGGAGGTGCCCTCCCCAAATGCGGCTGGTGCCACCTCGCTCGGCGGCGGAAATCAGCGATATCCCATGGAAACGGGACCCGTCGCTAATCCACGCCCCCTTGATCCATGTTTGCGATTCCCTGGTTCTAAGACGCAGGGGTGCTTCTACTGATAAGGCCCGCGCCTTCTAAGACGCTGCGTCTTAAAACGGCGCGTGCAAATGAGACGAAACAACAAGAAGACGTGTGCAAATGAGACGGTCAAACCGCATGATCGATGAACGTGTCCAAATAAGAAGAAACCACAATCAAATGAAAAAAACAAAGACACATCCACGCTGAATCCCACCAGCCCTCTGGGCGTCGGTGGTTTAGGGCGTTTCCTCTTCCACCCCTCCCTCTTCCCCTTCGGGGAGGGGTGTACCCCTCCCCCTACCCCCTCCCCACTGACCTGGACGGGGGGGGCCGCGAGCGGTCAGAGCGTCCAAAACGGCCTCGGCGAGGAAGCCAAAATCATTGATTTTACTATGGTTTTGGCCCCATTTTGGCCTTCTGAGGGGGCAGCGCTAATTAAAGCTCCCCTCTTCTTTGCTCGATTTCCTCCACGATGGCCGCAAGAGGCCCCCAGGATGCCCCAAGAGGCCGCAGGATGGCCCCAAGATGGCCCCAAGAGGCCCCCCAAGAGGCCCCCAGGAGGCCCCCAAGAGACCCCCAAGAGGCCCCAAGAGACCCCCCAGAGGCACCCAAGGTGCTCCCAGAGGCCTTTTTACTAGGCTATGGTTTGGGCCCCAGTTTGGCCTTCTGAGGGGGCAAAGATGGCCCCAAGAAGCGCCCAGGAGGCCCCCAAAGGCCCCAAGATGGCCCCAAGAGGCCCAAAGAGGCCCCCAGGAGGCCCCAAAGAGGATCCCGAACGGCCCACAGAGGCCCCCCCGAGGCACCCAAGACGCCGAACAGACCCTCAGGACGACCCTCTACTCGCCTGGGCGTCGTTTCTGGACGGGCTGGTGGGGATACGCGAAGCGTCTAGAATTCACTTCTAGCAGTGGCGACACCAAGACGCAGGGGCGCTTTTAAGAAGCCTCCCCCCCTCCCCCAAAACTCCCCCTCTGCGCCCGAACCGCCCCCCCTCTGGCGCTCGTCCGCGGCAGGAGCCAAGCCAGGCCGTGAAGGCCTGTGGCTGCTGGCGGGCGCGGAGCAGTTTCTCGGCAGCGAGCCCAGGAGGAAAATTGCACGGTTTCCCTGGGGGCCGTAGGCGACCCAAGTAGGGGGAGGAGGAGGAGGAGGAGGAGGAGGAGGAGGAGGAGGAGAGGAGGAGGAGAGGAGAGGAGGAGGAAAAGGAGGAGGAGGGAGGAGGAGGGAGGAGGAGAGGGTGGAGATGGTGGCAAATGGGGAGGAGGAGGCCGGAGGCCAGAGCAGAGGAGGAGGAGGGAGGAGGAGGAGGAGGAGGAGGAGGAGCAGGAAGAGGAGGAGGGAGAGAGGACGGGTCGCCTAAGCTCTTCGGAGGAAACCCTCCATGGGAAGTTCGGTGGCAACTCATGGGAGCTTGAGGGTTCCTCCGAAGGTCTTAGGCGACCCCTCCTCCACATCCTCCTCTTCCTCCACGTCCCCTCCTCCTCCTCTCCTCCTCCTCCTCTCCAGCTCCTCCTCCCTCCTCCTCCCTCCTCCTCCGCTCTCCTCCCTCCTTCCTCCACCCCCTCCCTCCTCCTCTCCTCCTCCTCCCTCCGTCCACCTCCTCCTCCTCCTCCTCCTCCTCCTCCTCCCTCCCCTCCTCCTCCTCCTCCTCCTCCCCCTCCTCCACCTCCTCCTTCTCCTCCTTCTCCTTCTCCTCCTCCTCCTTCTGTCGCCTACGGCCCCGGGGGAAACCACGCAATGGGAGCCTCACATTCCATCCTGTCAGCTCTTGCGGATCGACGCTAGTCGACGCTAACCGAAGCTAGAACGACGCTAGTCGACGCTAATTCGACGCTCATCGACGCTAAATCGGCGCTGATCAGTACCTCATCGACTCCCAGAAACTAATCGACGCTAAAGACGGAAATGAGAGGGTATACCAGGCTCCCATGATTTGCTGCCGAAAGGAACTGAGGAGGGGGAAGGCCTTCTCAGAAGGCTCGAAGTCCCCCGGCCTTCTGAGAAGTTTCCAAAACTTTCCCCGAAGACACGGAAAACTTCCCAGAAGGGCGGAAGGCTTCTGAGAAGCCTCGCCGCCTTCTGAGAAGGCCTTCTCCTTCTCACTTCCCCCCCCGGTCGGTGACTCGTGCGGGCGCGCTATCATGGCGACGTCGACAACGGCACACACGCTGATGATAGACGCTGCTGGTGACGCCTCCGGAAGATTTCGACATGCGCGCGCGGCCAACGCGCGCGAGTGGCCAGATTGGTACTATTTGGCAGGGATCGTGCCCCGCCCCCAGCACGCGCGCAAGAGCGTTCGAATGACTTCGGCACGCGCGCGCGAGAGGCACATCTGGTCGCATATGACGATCATCTTGAACAACCGATGGTGTTCTTAAGACTTCGCAAGAGCGCGCGCATACGTACCTGTCTTGAGACTTCCATTTGCGGAGCCCACTGGGGAAAGTTGTCCGGACGCTCGATGGAGAACTCCGTATGAAACCCAGGGTGTCTGGCCGCTCTTTTTGTACAGCTCGCAGGGCTGGGCATTCGGAGGCCGCTCGTCGCTGGCGGCTGCGCTGGAAAAAAAAGCACCCGTCGTCCTGGAGCAGGTCGCGCTGCACTCCGTCCACTGCATCCAGTTCCCCCACAGGCCGTCCACCTCGGCGCCCCGGGAGCGCCGGAGGAGAGCCCCACGTCGGCCCAAGCACACAGCCCCAGGGCGCCCCGTCGAAGCAGCCTCCGAATCGCGACGGCGGGAGACCGTCGACCGCAGCAAGGGGGGGGGGAGGGGGCAAGGGAACGAGGGGGGAGGAGCAGGGAGGCGAGGAGAGGGATGGAGGAGCAGGGGGGAGGAAGGGGAGAGGAGGGAGAGGGAGGGGAGGGAGGAGGGTCGACTGAGAAGAGAAGAACGTGTGAGGAGGAGGGGGAGGGGCAGGAAGGCGAGAGAGGGGAGGGGAAACCACAAACGGGAGAGGAGGGGGGAGGAGAAGCAGAGATGCAGAGAGGGCTGGAGGGAGGAATACCCAGGAAGCTGACGAAGAGTCAGCGGGACGAGGGAGGAAAGACGACGGAGGGGAGGAAATGCGCAAGGAGGAACCGGAGGGGGGGGGGACGGAGGAGGCCTGGGAGCAGGGGCAGACGTGAGGAGGAGCAGGAGGAGCACAAATGGGGGAAAAGGAGCAGAGGAGGAGAGGAGAAGGGGAGAGGAGGAGCAGGAAGAGTGTGGGAGGGGGCGGAGGCGACGGGGGTAGGCGAGGACGAGGGAGGAGGAGGGAGATGCACGGAGCTGCCGAGCCCGCCCCCGGGGCGCTGGCAGGGATGGGGCAGCCCCTGGCTCCCGCCCTCCCTCTGAACGTCCTCGGCCCAACTGCCGAGGGACCAAGAACGGAGGAACATTCTTCAATCAGTGGCGAGCGAGGGGCGAGGGGGGGAAGTGAGAAGGAGACGGCCTTCTCAGAAGGCTCAGAAGTCCCCCAGCCTTCTGAGAAGTTT